GGGTAAATACTATTTGGATACATAAAGCTGAAAATATACCAGGAATGGGTCATCATTGTCTTACTGTGTATCTTCATGTAAATAGCAAGCTCTCCTTGTTCTATTACACCTCAACTGGAAGCACTAAAAAGGGGGAATAAATATGAGAAAAGGAAACAGTAGAAACAAAATTGTGTAAATAGGGAAGGGTGGAAGGGAGAAAGGGAGAGCAGGGGAATGGGGAAAAATAAGAATGGAGATGTATCATGTGAATTACAATATCCCAATGGTGAAAGTTAACACACTGTATATACAAATGTACCGATAAACTTAATGAAAGAAATTGATGAATGGAGTTGATGAAAATTGAAAAAAGAACAAACAAACCAAAAAATGGATATACATTCACTCATGATCATGGGAAAGCAAGGCAACAGAAGACACCCTAGTTCTCCCAACTCTCATAAAGCCCATCAAAGGGCACAAATGGGGAGGAAAAGCAAATACCAGGTAATAGAACTCTTTGAAAACACTAAAGAGGGGATGAAGAAAGTAGGCCAGTTCAAGGAATACATGAACCAAAAAATCATAGAATTATCCATCAAAATGCCCAAAGTGGATTTGGGTGAAATAAGTAGAAAATTGGAAGAGCTGACTAAAACACTGCAAGTCATGAATGACAAATTCACCAAAGATATAGGATCCATGAAGAAATATCAGACAGAAATACCTGAGATAGAAAACTATAAATAATTCATAAATTGCAAAAATGACCAATGTGAAGACAGAGTGTCTGAAATTGAGGACAAAATGGTAAATTATGAAGAAGTATTCAAAGAAGCCGCACACAAATAAAAAGAGAACAAGAGGGACCACTTGGCAACCGCTAGTGCTAGAAAAATTGGATATTTGTTCACAGAAGATTGAAACTAGACCCATATCTCTCACATGCACAAAACTAAAATCAATATGGATAAAAGATCTAAACATTATAACAAACATTGAACCTAATGGAAAATAAAGTAAGTAGAACACTTAAAGTTATGGGAGTAGGATAGGATTTTCTAAATAGAACTGCAATTGCACAAGAAATACCAGAAAGAGTTAAAATTGGGGGTACATCAAATTAAAAAGCTTCTGCATCACAGCAGAGGAATCAATTAATAGAGTGGAGAGACGACCTGCAGAAAGGAGGGATTTCCAGCTATTCTTTAGATACAGTGAACTAATATCTAGAATATGTAAAGAACTTTAAAAATTAGACCACCTAAAGACCCAATCAAGAAATGGGCAAGTTAAATGAACAGACACTTCACAATGGAAGAAGTACAAAAGGCTGACAAATATATGAAAAGATGTTCAACATCCCAGCCCATTAGAGAAATGTAAATTAAAACACTGCTAAGAGTCCATCTTATGCCAGAAAGAATGGTAATCATCAAGAATTTTAAAACTAGCAAATGCTAGTGTGGCTGCAGTGAAAGAGAAAACCTCCTAAATTGTTGGTGGGAATGTAAACTACGACAACCATTATGGAAATCAGAATAGGAATTCCTCAAACGTATAAAATTAGAAATTCTCTATGACTCAGGTATTCCCAACTATCCTCCCCAAAGAGCTAAAGATATCATACTACAGTGATACATGCATACCAGTGTTTATAGCAACACAATTCATAATCATTAAATCTTGGAAGCAGCCTGTATACCCATGAACAGATTATTGGATAAAGAAAATGTGATGTCTATATATGGTGGAATGCTACTTGGCTATGAAGAAGGAAAGATTGAGTCATTTGTAGGAAAATGGATGCACCTGGAAAAATGTAACGTTGAGCCAAATAAATCAGTCTCATAAGTTTAAATACCATATAATATCTCTTGGTTGAGTAAGGCAAAGTACAAAGAGCACAATAAAGAACAGATAGAAAGAGACAAGGGGATGAATCTCTTGAAAATGGGAAGGGGTCCCAGAAACTGTGGGCAAAAGGAGAAGGGGAGGGAAAGGGAAAATAAGTAGAAGAAAGACATGTACATGTAAGAGAGCTGGGGATCCCACCACCTGCCTCACAAGTGCAAGGTTCTGAATTCCATCCCCAGTACAGAAAAAAAAAAAAAAAAGAAAAAGAAAGAAAGGAGACATGTACATATAAATGCCATGTACCAGAACCTAATAACCTCAAAGAATATAAACATTATATGTCATAAACACATGCTAAGATTAACAATATCCATAATAATGAAAATGGGGAAATAGTATTTAGAGGACGAGGAAGGCAGGTTGGGAGGGAAGGAGATTTTAAAAAGAACCAAGCTCTATTATGCACATGGACCCACCTCCTAAAATGACTGTGTCCTGCACATACTGCAAACATAAACTAACAAAACCAATGCAAGTTGTCAGAACTCACCAGCTTGGTATATGAGCTACTAAATGACTGGCAACTCACAGTTCAAAAATTCTTTTCTCATGAGCAAAATATTAGGAGGTAGCTTATTAGTCTTTATTCCAGAAAATAACTCAAAATGAATTTTTTTCATAACACCAAACTTCTTGTGTTCAGAAGACTTCCTGTTGAGACATCCTTTTGAAATAGGTCTTCTCCACTTTTGATCCAAAAATTAGCTTCAGGAGAAGCTAAAGCAAATGAGATTATATGAGACACTTAGGTCCATAGTCTTCCTCCAGGATTTCTGACTACATCAGTCCTAGATCCTGAACATCTGCCTCCTGGGAAATACTTCTTAGGCAAAAGACTTTATAAGAACTGGCTAAAATTTTTTCTGACTTAGGCTATTACCTCAGGGGATATCTGCAGATTCTACTGGAACCGGAAATGGCTTAGAAAGTGATGGGACAGTAAGCACAAATTAGACACCTGATATCACTTTATAAAATAAAGTAAACCACAGCTGGGGAAAAGACCTACAAGCCAAAGTTCAAGATATACTATTAGGTTGAAAAGAGTAAAGTGAGCACTTTGTGCACTATTGACTTCTGTGCACTTTTTAGAGACCAACAAGGAGAATATTTCTGGGAAGTTCTATAAGTTGTTAGCAATCAGAATTACCTCTAGGGCAAAAATAGAAGACTGGCAGCCTAGAAGAGCTAAGATTTATCATTTCTTATACCTTTACATAGTACTTGAAATTTTTATTTTGCATATAAACATGTATCGCTTCTTCAATTAAAATAGCTAACTTTAAAAAGCAATGTGATACTACACTTCAGATTTTGAAATGGAGAGGGCAAATATCTGTAAATTTGTTAGAATGAAAAGAGTTTTCCATGTGAACAATGGTACTAGTATATATTTATTATAATACTGAAGTTTATTTTGCCGTTCACATCTTATACAGTTTTCAAAGAATTCTACATACATTGCTTCTTGGTATTCACCATACCTTTTGAAGTAGGTGTGATGTACTAAAAGCAGTGCTTTACAAATTGAAACAAATGAAAAATTCTGATGTGTAACAGAATTGAAAACTTAAAGCATATATTAAAATAAGAGATTTGAAGTTACTACAGGTCTGGGATATAGCAGAGACCTGACATTTTACAGTATGAGAAGTCACAAAATAGTTTATGAATAGCAGCATTTTAAAAGACTGCAGCAATATTCCTTGCAATTTTGAATTCTTAACTAAGAAACTTTTGCATAAAGGAAGAAGGAGGCAGGAAAAAAAACTCCTAAAAAATTTTTAGTAGAATATGCCTAATATTGGAATGTACGTTGTCAACTAAAGACTAGTTGAAAACTAAGTTGCCTTCGTAACTTCACGATATAATTTTTAGCTTTGGAATTCAGACAAATCTAAAATAATCGCCTAAGTGTTAAAAGAGGGAAATTATACAACACCACTACTAAATCTTGAAAAATATCCTAAAGATTTATTGGTTAGGGTCATGGTATCCTCCAGTCTCCCTGGAGCAATCTGCATTTTACACCTTGTCCCCATATAATCAGTCATAGCACCTTTTCACTCTCAAAAGTCCTGAGAGTGGATGATATATAACCACCCACTAAAAATCACTCTTCTCCTGCACCTTCAAGATTCTCATTTTCTAGGGTTTGGGCTTCATATCAAAGCTAAGAATTACCCTATTTGTGCAAAAGCTAAACGATCCATGCTGGGATCTTGACTGCATACGTGACTGTCAAGAAAGAGAGATTTTCCAGGTATTATTACCCTTCAGCAATTTTGGCTTTCCTAAAGAGATAGCTAGAGAAAAGGGAGTCTCGGGGTCTGGTCTGGGAGTCCGGCATGATGAGATTTAGAAGGGACGGGTGAACCGAGCTGGACTTGGGAAGACGGACGTGCAGACAAGTGATAGAACAGCCCTGGACTGGAGTCACGCTGACCCCACCTCCCAGAGTCATCCGCTCCTGTGCCGTTCACTTAGTATTGGAGAGTGGCCCCCAGAAGCACAGCACTGTTCTAGGCACTGCGTTGGGCTTGTCCGTAGTCATAGGGATTTTGTTCTCAATTTCCAGTGGTTTGTAGAAATATAATACTGTACAGATTTTGTCTAACGCAACCGGAGTTCTTTTCTGGCTACCACCTTTAGAACTCGCATACTAGATTCTCAGGTACAATTTGGAAATGCTCTTTGTGACCACGCCCCACATAGGTTAAATAATTGCCATGAATTTTGTTGTTGTTGTTTTTTCATGTTACCAAGATATTTCTTTCCCGGGACAAGGGCACAAGTCAGCAGCCAAGCTGGCGTCCGGCACAGCTCCTCCGTTTCACAGTGGGCAGACTCCTCCTCCGGACGCGTGACTCCTGGCGCGCAGGGCGATGCCGGCTGCTTTAGGATGAGTCTTGCTTACCGAGTCCTCTGAATTATGCATCTGGCACGTTCGCGAGCTATCCTGTCGTGAACGACTGCTCGAGGTTTCTGTGTAAAGTACTAAGAAATGTGTGAATCGCTCTTGCATGTTTCTATTTACAACTCTAACGAACTATTCTCAGGACACAGATATCTCTTACCACGCGAATACCAAAACTCCTGCCTTTCGGGTTCTCTCTGAGGGACTTGGGCTCGGCCCCCAGCCAGCCCGGCAGGCTCGCTGGGTCCTTGACTGTCTCTGCGGTGTCTGCACGGCTTCCGGTAGTTCTCTCCTCGGGAGTCGGCGTCTCCTGTCCCTTTCCACGTTTCTCTGTCCTAGTCGTCACTGGTTGAGTGGTTACTGTCACTGCCCTCGCTGCCCTCACTGCCACTGTCACCTCCATTGCTGTTGCTATTACCAGGCTCGCTCTGGCTGTCACTCTCATCACTGCTGTCAGACGTGTCATCTTCGCCGTCGCTGCTGTCGTCGCTGCCGTCGCTGCCGTCACTGTCGCTGCTGTCGCTGTCATCGCTGCTGTCGCTGCTGTCACTGCTATCACTATCACTGCTATCACTGCTGTCACTGTCGCTGCTGTCGCTGTTATCGCTGCTGTCGCTGCTATCGCTGCTGTCGCTGTCATCGCTGCTGTCGCTGCTGTCACTGCTATCACTATCACTGCTATCACTGCTGTCACTGTCGCTGCTGTCGCTGTTATCGCTGCTGTCGCTGCTATCGCTGCTGTCGCTGTCATCGCTGCTGTCGCTGCTGTCACTGCTATCACTATCACTGCTATCACTGCTGTCACTGTCGCTGCTGTCGCTGCTATCGCTGCTGTCGCTGCTATCACTGCTGTCGCTGCTATCGCTGCTGTCGCTGTCATCGCTGCTGTCGCTGCTGTCGCTGTCGCTGCTGTCACTGCTATCACTGCTATCACTGCTGTCGCTGTCGCTGCTGTCGCTGTCGCTGCTGTCGCTGCTGTTACTGCTGTCACTGTCGCTGCTGTCACTGCTATCACTGCTATCACTGCTGTCGCTGTCACTGCTGTCGCTGTCGCTGCTGTCACTGCTATCACTGCTATCACTGCTGTCGCTGTCGCTGCTGTCGCTGTCGCTGCTGTCGCTGCTGTTACTGCTGTCACTGTCGCTGCTGTCACTGCTATCACTGCTGTCGCTGTCGCTGCTGTCACTGCTATCACTGCTGTCGCTGCTGTCGCTGCTATCGCTGCTGTCACTGCTGTCACTGCTGTCGCTGCTGTCGCTGCTGTCACTGCTGTCACTGTCGCTGCTGTCGCTGCTGTCTGATTTGCTGTCGCTGCTGTCGCTGTCACTATCACTGCTGTCGCTGTCGCTGCTGTCGCTGCTGTCTGATTTGCTGTCGCTGTCGCTGCCATCGCTGCTGTCGGCTCCACTGTCACTGCTGTCACCACCATCGCCGCCGTCTGACTCATCGTTGCTGTCTGACTCGTCGCTGTCCTCACTCTCGCTGTCACCACCGCCATGGCTGTCACCATCACTAGCATCAGATGTGCTGTCACTGCCGTCGTCATCGCCCCCCTCCGAGTCGCTGTCGTCACCGCCATCTGTGGATTCATCAGAGGTGTGCGCGTCATCTCCCCGGCTGCTGCCGCCATCATCCCCTTCGGAGTCTGAGCCGTCACTCCCATGAGACTCATCGCTGCTGTCGGGATCGTCCCCTTGCATGGATGTGTCATCGAGATCATAGCTGTTGTAGCCGTCACTGTTGCTGCCGCTGCGTGCCGTACTGGGCCCCACTTTGTCTCCAGGCACCGGCTTTGGGCCTGGTCCCGCTGTGCCGTCCTCCTCTCCGTGGGTCTTGATGTCTCCCCTGCTCACGCCGTGGGGTCCCTTACTGTCTTTGTCTCCACTGATTTCCACAGTTTCTTCGGTGGCGTTACTCCTGCTGCCACTGCTAGGACCTTCCACGTCCATTGTCTGTGGGATGATGGAGAAAAGAAAGATCAATTAGTGAACACTGGCAAAACTGCATCTGTGCGAGGACGATTATCTGGGAAATGTGACCACAGGAGCAGGAGTTCCGTGCTTCTCAGCAGTTGTTTGTGTGAGCCTGCTTTATTCAGGAGGTGAACAGATTCTTGGGCTTAGATCTGTTAACAACCCATCCACATTTCCCGTGCCAGGAGCTTGTAAACCTTACATGGTGAAATCGGTATTGAGCATGGACTCTGCTAGGATTCTGACCAAATGCTCAGAAATGTCTGATTTTTTAAATCGTTCTACATTAAAGTCAAATGAGGACATTAAATATTTCATTAAATATTCAAATGACATAGATTATACCTGTATGATCATCAGTATTTATTTTTGTGCCCTCATCAGAGAGTGAAAGGAAAAAAATTAAATTACCACTGACAAAAATCAGGTTCAAAACCAACCTTATCTTGAATCTTTCCAGTAGCACTTGGGCCTATCTCTTGGGTGACTCCGTTTTCAACACCGTCGCTTTTTCTGTCACTGGGTTCTGTTTTGGGGCTGCCATCATTTGTGGGAGCACCATCTGAATCCTCCTGGCTATTAGAGGTACTGTCTTCATCTGTGTCCTTGTGGAGCTCTCCCGTTTCTTCAGAGTTCTTATCCTCAGTGCTAACTGAACTCTGACCTATGCTGTTGTCACCTTCTTTTCCAGGAGACTGGCCTTCCTGGCCCCTGCTGTTATCACTACCCTCTCTCCCGTTCCCTACTTCTCCACCCTCACCGTCACCAGATCCCTTGTCTTCATCATCAGCTCCGTCCCCACTAGGGCTCCCATCAGAGCCCTCCAGGGCAGCATCTTTTCCATTGCCTGGTGCCGCCTCAGCCGCCTGATTCCCGTTCCCCTCGCCTTCTCTCTGAGCTGTGGTCCCACTTGGATCCCCCCCATTCCCGCCTGTTTCATCATCACCACCTATGTTATTATTGCTTCCAGCTGCTGGAGGTCCACTTTCTGGGGCAACAGTGGCACCCTCGTCCTGGCCTGCATTGCCAGTGTCCCCCGTCTGTGTGTTCTGGTCAGTATGTCCATCACTGTTGCTCTCATTCACTGCTGCAGCTCTGCTGATCGTGTTTTCTTGTCCCCTGATGCCATTTGCTGTGCTGTTATCCTCTTCTCTGTGTACCCCGGCACGATCATAGGTTTCCTGCTCTCCTGCACCACCACTTTCCTCCTCAGCACCCTGCTCTTCATTTCCTGAAGTAGGATGTGTGGAGGAGGGGTCACTCCCTCCTCCGTGTGCCCACTCACAGCCTGTCCCTTCCCCTGTGCAACTGTCTTTGGTAGGCTGCTGTCTTAATTCTCCTTCATGCGGAGAAAAACCATGCTCTCCCGTGGTGTCATTGGCATCCAGCTCATTCTGGAGAAGAGAAACAGTTCAAAAGTAAACCATGGGCATCATCTAGAAGTAAAGCAGGCTAGAAAAATGGGTGAAAAGTTTGCAAGTTAATGGAAAGCAAAAACAGCTTGGAAATAGAAAGAAAAGAAAACGTTTTATATCCCATACCTGTAGTGGCACTTTTGATTTTTCTAGAAGATGTAAATTCACAGATTTTTCAATAGCATATCTCTCCAGTGGTTTGATTTGAGGAACCTGACAAAAACACAGGCTCTTACTTTGTGTACGTAATTATTGCACAAGCACATACATACACTCACACATGTTCCCCTCCGTGAAGAAGGAAATATGGAACCCAAAGGTCAAACCATGATCTAACCAGGTGGAAGAGAAGCAGTTTATTGCAGGGCTAGAATTTTAAACCGGGCATACGGATACTTTTCATTATGCTATCACCAATTTTATTGAAGGTTTAGCCATGCCACTGTCTCAACTGTAGAAGGACAGTCCTTTATAAAGTCAGGAGGACCTTTGGCATCTCTGTACAGAAAGCTGAGTGCAGGACATTCCCTAAGGATATTCCTGGCCAAAATGCCTCAGAAAATAGGGGAACGTGACCACAATGGTGCAGAAGCAAAATCAAGTAGTGAACAGTTCTACTGCTGGGCTCTGCGAGAGAACACTTGGAATATCTAGGGAAGTTCTCACCTCCAGAAATACCACCATGCTTGGTTCAGAAACAGCATATGAAAATGTTAAACATGGGGGACAGCTATTAAAATTCTAAATGAGATGATTTATTCAATATTTCTCTGTCCACTTTTATTTATAGATTCCAAATTTTCCACAGTGAGAATGCAAATAAGTACTTCAGAATGAAATATTACTTTTCTTATGTTAAAAAAAAATCACAATTTCCCTATTGTTCTTTCTTTAAAACTTTCTAAACAGCACAGGCTTTGTTGATATTAGAAGGAAATTGGCAGAACACAAAATAAAGATGGATGAAGCCTCCACAATTTCTTGGCATTAAATGTGAATTAATCTGAACAAGAGTTTCAAATATTCTTCTGACACAACATGAATTTTATCTGGAGGAATGGGAGCATGAAATGCACTGTGTATTTGTTTTTGTTGAGACATCAAAGATATCTGGCAAACTCTTTAATGCAAATCTATGCTTTTAAACTTAGCCTATCTGCAAAGACTGGAAGAAATGTTTATGTTAGGCTAAAATAGAGAAGTAAGGAAGATTTCCAAGGAGAACATACTTACTGGAATGGCCCATGTTGCTGCCCAAATGCAAAAATATATAATTATCTTCATTTTCCTTAGGAATAATAATCAATGGCTGTTTTTAAAAAAGAAGAATGATATAAAATTACTCTCATATAAAAGGCAGTCACCACAGTGAAACATTGTTTTGGCCTGTAACATCTGCTCTGTTTTATAGCAAGGAGTACATATCTAACACAAGAAGATTTCTGATGTTCCCAAATTCTACCTTGTGTGGCGATGGAGACATGGGAGGGTGTCATGAGGATCAGTACTAAAGGGGCTTCCTGGCCCTTTACAGCCTGCACCAGCAGAGGGCCACAGCCATGAAGGCCCAGAGGGAAGAGCTGTGACTTCATCCCTCTGCTGTACTTGATGGCAACAGCAAGGCTGTCTTCTGAATGGCTTTAATCAAGTGTTAACTAAATCTACTAAAATTGTGTTTAAAAGAGCAGGCTCTTATAATCTCTGACCCAATCTATAGGATTTGGCTACACCAGACTGTAAGAGAAGAAATGACGGACTGTGAGACTAGGCCAGTGGAAAGAACATGGAATTTGGATTCAGAGACCTGGGTTCAAATTTTACCTCACTATTGGCTGTGTTAGCCTGAGAAATTTAAGTAGCTTCATTAAACCTTCATTTCTTCCATCTAGGACAGTAATGGTACTGTACCTCAGAGTACCCCAAGGTTTACCAGAAAAATTATCACTGAGAAGCTTTCTCTGACTCCAGATCCAGGGACATTTGGTGTCTCCTTTATACATCCAGAGATTCCTGCACTCCTTGCCAGCACCATGCTGAGCTGTATTGCAAAAGTCAGGTTATTTATCTGTTCCTCTGCTCTACTGTGAGCTCCCAAATGTCTTGGTGATCACTGTCTTCCAATGCGAAGGTCAGAAAAAGGTGGTACAGGAAAGCGTTTCATAAATATGTACCTTTTAGTTTAAATATATCATGCACTGCTTGGCACTTTGCAATCTCCTAAAAAATAATGCTAATAATTATGTGGGATGTCTAAAGACATGATTTCTCACCTCTATTAGAACTCAAAGTCAGAAAGCATCCAGGACAGTGGATTGGAGACCGAGTCCCAAAGCTGCAACCCAAAGCTCATTTATTTATGGCAAAGTGGCAATACTGCAATCAAATCCAAATACTGAGGTTTTGGTTTAGAAAAACCAATTTAAACATTAGCATCTTTTGTCTTAAAAGAAAAACAGACCAAGAAAAAAAAAGGAAAGCTGGGCATGGTGGAGCACTCCTGTAATCCCAGCACTCAGGAGGCTGAGGCAGGAGGATCGCTGTGAGTTGAAGAACAGCCTGGGCTACACAGTGAGTTCCAGGTCAGTCTCAACTACATAGTGAGACCCTGTCTCAAAAAAAAAAGGAGAAGAAGAAAAACAGAGCCAGGGATTTAGCTCAGTGGCACCATACCTGCCTTGCAAGACAAAGGTCCTCAGTTTGATCCCTAGTACCTCAAAAAAAGAAAGAAAAACAAACAATATGCTTGCCATAGGTTCACCACCACTGATCTAAGACATATTTTTCACACACTTGAATAGACATTGTATAATCTCTGTGAATCAAACATTTTAAGTTTCTATTTACTGAAGATTGGATGCCATGATAATATTATTATGGAAAGGAAAGATTTTCTTTCTCTGATTTCATAAACTTCCACTGGATTTAAAGACTATAATGCTGCCTTGACTGAATTTAATGGTAATAAAACCTCAGTGAATGCCAACTGTTATAAGAATGATTGGTATCTCCTCAGAGGAGAGAGGATGTAGTTCCAGAGCTACTGAGGAAAACAGTACTTCACTCTTGTGGCTGTTCAGCAAAAAGCCAAGAATAGCTAGACCTCCTTCAGAAATGTTGCAGACTAAAAATGAGGACCAGGCAACTCCAGGACAAGTGTGATGCAGAGCTCGAGGACAGAAAGATGGAAGTCCAACAGTTTAGCAAGCAAAGTCGCCAACCTGATCATTACAGAGACTGTGGAGGGCTGGTCTACACTGTGATTTGGAGGAGTCAGCATGTTCTGGGAAAGCCCCCGTAATGAGGGCTACCATGTGTGCCCCTCATTTCCACCCTGCAATCCGTCACCCTGTCCCCTCAGCATCCTCACAACTCCACTCAAAAACAATCACAGTGCTTCCTGTCACCATTCGCCCAGGCAGGCAACAGCTGGAAAGACCAACGCAGAACTGGCCCAACTGGGGTCAGCCAAAAGCAGAAGCCTCAGAACTGAGAGGCTGCCACTAGGGGATTTCATTTATTGGCATCCATGAACTGAGCCCAGTAACTAGCAAGTGAATCTAGGCAAGAAAGTAGGAAAGTAGTGAGAAGCAAAGTCTAATCGCAGCTTGTTTGAAAGCCTAAGGTGAGTCTTTTAAATTGGAGCTATCAAAATTTTTATCAAAACTCATCAACATGACCGGATAATCAAATTTCCACCCCAAGTTTTGCCAATTTGGGGTGACCTGTCCTTTTTCCAAATATATAATAATAATACTTAAAACAGAAAATGTGTGCGATTTCAGTCAGAATCTCCAGGTATCCTACATAGAAGTGTTTTAAACTGGATTTCAGAACTCTAACATCAAATCTCAAAAAATTAACTTCACAATCCAAAAGTTGATTTTGCAGGTACTAAGCTGTTAAATGTGAACTAGGATTCAGTCAGTCAGTCAGTCAACAAAGGCCTAATAAATACAGGCCAGATATTGAGCCCTTCTCTCACAGAGCCTATAATGAGGTGGAACAGCCAGAGCATACTGTGTTAAGTAAAATTCCCAAATCTACGTTTAACTTAGCAAGAGTCGATGGTTTAATGTTACTATTATTACTATTTTAAGAGTAATAGATTGTTTCTTTCCTTTTTCATTAAATGCTATCATCGCACTGCAGGGACAGAGCTGCAAAGTGATTCTGATTGGATCTAAAGTTCTTTTTTTCTGGATAAAAATAACAGTAATGGAATTTTAGTCAGTTATGTATAAAATAGTCTAGTCACTTCAGACTTGGATACTTGCTTTATTTTAAGTATACTCTTTCCAATAGCAAACGATACTTTAACAACATACTGTCTGTGGAAAGGTCCTATCGCCAGGGATGCAGTGTTTTAATCAGATGGACTTGGCTTCCCTCGCCATATAGATTTCTGTTGCCTCTTAATACAGCCTCTCCATATTTCAAGTGAGAAAGGAAGAAAAACCTAATCAAAAAACTGGTATTCACTCTTTGAAGTCAAGTTGTCTTCTCTGGCAGGCAAAATTCTTTCTAGGGGAGTCAGTTGGCTGAAGTAAAGAGGGTGTTCCACCTTACCTTAAAAGCCTTCAAAGGGACTTGGAAAATCCAGCTTTTCTTATCTTTCTCTTTGAAGACTGAGAGTGGCCCACTGTCCTGGACTTTTGCATGACAGTTTTCTACCTGCTGAAATTTAAACTCATTTTGATCGTTTTCTCAGCCAATCACTGTTTCGGATCCCTGATATGGGGTTACAAAGTGTCCCTGTGTCTGTGAGCTCATAATAACGCCCCACTTCCTCACTTGTTGATATGTATTTGCTCACTGAACCATTCGGTTCCAAAGTGACTAGACTTACTTTCACTTAATTAAATAGCTCCTGGAAGGCTGTTTTGCATCTTAAATATAGAGAATCAGTGTGATATATCTGAAAAGGGCTACTTAAGCTCGGTCACCCTGACATTTTTTGTCTTGCTAAGGTTGGCAATCTAAGAAAACTCTAGGTTTCTTTAGTAAATATGACTGCCTATTTAAGATCCCTGTCATTCCTGAAGTAGGTATTAAAGTTTCTGTGCTATAATTCAAGAAATTGTCCGCATTCAGCAGTCTTGATGTTGCCCAAGGCATCTTTTAACAGCCTATAAACAGTAAGTCCTATGATCTAAGGCAAAGCAGTGATACAGAGCTTACAAATCTATCAATTTAGTATTTGAACTAAAATTTTTAAATAGACATTTGGAAGATTAGAATTCATTTAAGGTATCTGGAAGTGATAAATTACATATACACAACAAATTTTGCTTTCAAACATTTTAGCTGTGAGCACTAAATAGAAAACCAGGCTATTTCTAGCCAAAATTTGATACTTGGAATTATTATTCTCCTGAAGTCTAGGTATGTGTTATGATTATGGAATCCCTAGACCACCTCTCCAATGTATAAGTTCAAAACTTGACGATCCATGCATCTCTGTGCACTAATTCAGAATTTTCAGGAATATGCTATACATTTTCATATTATAATACTGAAGGGTGTGAAACACATATAAGCACCAATACTAAGCCATTATCTAACAGTGGTTTCTCCAGAATGTTACATAGGGAGGTGGGGGGGTACAGTAAAGTTGAAAGGGGGTGAAGGGAATAGGAGGGAAATTTCCCTTGAAGCTGTATTTTCATAGCAAGCACATTGTTTTTATTTATACGGCACACTTATTTGGGCTTCTTAAAGGGTTTTACCAAATTTTAATAAGGCTCACATCACTCCTAGAGGCAACATCCTCAATTCACACATAGACTCACATGGACACTGATGAGCTGAAACTGCCTCTTCATCCTTCCTTTGCATTACCTGACTCGTAGCCAGAGATTTCAGTAGCTCTCTATGAATAACTGATAGACAGAAAATCGGGTGGATCTACATACAAGATTCAAATGAAAGTATTAGCCAATTTAATCTAATTGACATTCACAGCACATAATCCAACAAAGATGTGTGCATGCCTGTAATCCCAGCACTCAGGAGGCTGAGGCAGGAGGAATGCCATGAGTTCAAGGACAGCCTGAATAACAGAAAAAGACTCTGTCTCCAAAAACCAAACAAACAAAAAAACAGCTTATCAAAATTTGTGTGATGTCACTAAAGTATTACCTACCACTCAAAAAGATCCAGGGATTTAGCTCAGGGGTGCCACCACCTGTTTTGCAAGTGCAAGGTCCCAAGTTCAATCCCTGGTTATAAAAAAACAAAAACAAAAACAAAAAATACTATATGCAAAAAGGAAAAGGCTTCAAAACAATGACCTCAGCTTCTATTTTAAGAA